AGATCCACATATTTGTAAACCAACTAACTATGTTTCAGTATTGATTGTAACCAAACAACTTAATTTTAGATTCTTCAAAAACAACTGAACATGTTTCTTATTCTCTCCAGCAAAAACAAACGTATCCAAAAAATTGGCCAATCAAACAAAACCTATATAGAGATTATTGGGGGTAATTTCGTCAAAAAAAAGCCAACGGGTCTTTATAACGGCCAGTCAAAGGGTTTGACTAACGGATTCAAGAAAAAAGTTAACGGCAGGGGGGTATTTGATGTTTTTCATACATGAGGGGGGTAAACGATACATTTCTCATAGTACAGGGGTACAAAATGAATTTTACCCTTTTTTTTTTGAGTAAATTAATATATTTAAATGGCTAATATAAATATTATATTCTGCATTTAAATCTATATACATATATAATATTCTTCATTTAAATACTGAAATGCTATTCACACAGTGCACGTTTTACTACCTTGCAATGCACTTTTATGTCATTTGTAAATTTTATTCAAATTCTCTCAAACTCTCGGAAATTAAAGGAGCAATTTCGGCAATGATTCAAGTAGCAAATTACCTGAATACATGAATTTAACGTTTTGTTGTTGTTTAGTTTACGAATTACATCGATTAGTTTAATTTTATTTGAGAATTGATCAAATTCAAAAAAAAAAAAAAAAAATCAGTTACAACGTCGTCTGTTTCGTACCCTCAAGCACGAAAAATAATAGTTTATTTCGTGCTACCAAGCACGAAACCAAGCGATTTTAGAAATAATGGGTCCGCTTTGAGTAGAAGTACACGAAACAAAAACTTTGTTTCGTGTAGATCTACACGAAATGGACTCATTAATTCAAAAGTCGCTTGGTTTTGGGCTTAGTATCACAAAGTGTAGACGTTCTTACATATACCACATTTCGTGTAAATTTACATAAAACAGAGATTATGTGTCGTGTAAATTTACACGAAACTGTACAATTTTATTTTTTATTTTTTATTTTTTATTATTACTTATTATTATTTATATATTAAATTAAAGTGTTTAATGTCTTATTCCACATATGGCAGGCAAGTCGAAGGCACTTATGCGAGCAGCTGCTTCTGATGCCGAGCACTAGGAACGAGAGCGTATGACTATGTCGGTGCTAAATAGGAGAGCTGCGGAGAAGTGGGAAGTCGGTCGGTCATGTCGATGCTGATGTCGGCCCTTCCCATGTTGCGGAAGAGGTGACGGAGCCCACACGGAGATGAATGTTGTTGTACCTCATGGAGGTCCTGGAGGTCAAGGACGTGCAACCGGATGATGTTGTTGTTGTAACTTATTTTCAATTTTTCAGTGTATTATTAATTTGTCTGATACTAAAAATTCTCTACTTTTACAATGAAAAATAAGTTGATGATTATGACTAATTATATTGTCTTTTGCCCACATAGTTAATGTCTTCATACTATCAAATTTGACATCACGTTGAAATGACTATGATCGTGAGATTCTTGTTCTTGTTTCTGTATAAACAGAAACATTATTAAAATTGAAAATAAAAGGAATTGTACATTTACACGAAATACAATGTGCATTTCGTGTTATATACCACGAAATTCCCACTGTATTGTGTAAATGTACACAAAACACAACATAATTTTGGACAAAAGTTGTTTCGTGTTGCATTACACGAAATGAGTGAAAAAGTCGAAATTCGACAAAAAACGTGAATTTTTTTTTAACCTCAAAATCGATGTTAATTTCATCCAGGTTGATAATTGCAGTGCTCTAACTGATGTTGTTAGAGAAAATCACGTTTTTTAAAGTTTCAAAATTTAGAGATTGAACAATTTGGAAAATGTTTTTTTTTTTTGTTAAAAATAAATTATTTCGAAGTGTAGGTGGACAAAAACGAACTATGAATTGTAAACCCTTTTAAAGGTGTAAAGTGGAATCAACATGCCATTTTAATATTGAAATTCAGACGAGGTTGGATTAAGGCAATGTGACGTGGAAACGCGTAGGAGTTCAGAGATTTTGCATTTACTTAGTTTGGATAATTCTTGATAAAAATAAATTTAGAGTTCTAATAAAATATTAATTGTATTGTTATCAATTTTGTTCTTATTTAATTGAAAAATAATTAAGGATAAAAATATTTTAGTATTTAATATGCTATGTTTTGTATAATCTATTCATATTTATTGGATTTCTAATACATGCAACAATCCAAAACAACATATGATATGGGACGGAGAAAGTATAATATATATAGTTAGCCTTGGGTGTTGACAAAATTATATAAAATTAATTTTCCAAATAGGGATAAGATTAATTTTAAATCCCATATTAGGGAAACCTTCCTAAAGTTAAATACTCCCAAAATTGCCCCTATGATACTCATTCAAAAAAGAAAAGAAGTGTACAAAATATGCAATCCCGCTAAATCGAAAATCCACTTCTAATCTATCCAAAAAATAACTTATCCCAAATCTTGAGCCCGCTCCTCGAATTTTTTTTCAAAAATGTCTTCATTCTCGAAAACAACTAGAAAAATGGCGGTCACAAAAATCTGAGAAACCTGCTACGTTTTTCCGTTTGTAAATTAGGCAAGAAGAAACTTAGATTGGTTGGCCGTCTTCGTCATTGTTCTGACCACTTCGGTGGGAAAAGTAGTCGTTTTCCCCATCTACAACTACCGAATACCTAGACGAACTGCAAGTTTTGACTGACGCTCACAATAATTTTATAGAAGTTTTTGGTTATAAACGTGTATGGTTTTTCATTTTCAATAGCATGTTCGAAAATCTACTATTTGCAAAAGATGTCATTCCCGTATATGATTTAAGGTTCCGAATGTCCACCACGGGTCCTTCCAACAAGAAGATAGTGCAAAAATCAACAGGGAGAATTATTATTCGCACGCTTTCTAAAACTTACTTTTTTCCATAGACATAATAAAATTCTAAAGCTTACTTTTTTCCATAGACATAATAAAAATTAAGATGTTCTTATTAAAAAAATCTTATTTGCTCTCCAACAGCTTATTTAAAAAAAAAAAAAGTAAGATCTTTAAAAAAGAAATTACCAAACGGAAAAACTTATAAGCTTCGCCAAACACCCTCTATATAAAAATAAAAACCCAACATCTCATACTAATTAACAACTAACACAATCCAAATTAGTGCAAAACAAGGCCTCATACCATAAAAATAAAGACATTGCATAAGCCACAAAATAACATACTTTAAATAAAACCCCAAAACAATTCAAATTATTAATCCTCAATATATATATATATAGTATATATATATATATATATATATATATATATATATATATATATCAATAGGCTTGTTGTAGTAGAGGAGGCTCATAAGGAAGAGTGGCAATATGGTTATGAGCTACAGTCCCAATCCACAACCTCCCATTAACCTCTCTGACCTCACTCACCAATTTCATGACGTCACCATTTTTGTCATCAAGAACATCCAAAATATCTCCCTTGTCATTTAGTAGTGCTATCATAGTGTACATTCTCATCCCTGCAAACCTCGCCAAGTACCTCATCGGCACCGGCAACCGAAAGTACACGCTTCTAAGCCACGGGTTCCGCACGAACACCTCTTGCGCTGCGGTCCTGCAGCAGTCGATCGCTACCCAGAACTCGCCCCTCTCGTTTACTCTTACGTTGTCCGGGAATCCCGGGAGGTTTACGACTAGCTCTGTTTTCCCGCTCTTTGGTCCCTCCAAGAAGTATTTCATGATCCTGTGGAAAAATATTGTATAGTGACTCCAACATTTTTAACTAAAATATCACTAATTAATTAAGTTTAAGTTGTGACTAAGGTGGTGTTTGCAAGAGTTTATTCAAAAGCAGAAGGCAGTGATTGTGAGTTAAGTTGACATTACGTGCTTATTTTTTAAAGTTGAGGGTGTTTGCAAATTACTGGAAAATCAACTAAAATAGAAAAAATAAATAAATGGGTGCTTTTTAAAGTTATATCTTTATACAAATTATTTTTAGATAAGCAAAAGCAAAAACTTGTTTTGCAAACACCTAATAACAAATTTTCTGCAGAATAAAACTCATGATCTATTTAAAAGCTTTTGCAAACACCACCTAAATATTTACCGGTCCTTTTTAAAGAATGTCACACAAAATACAATAAACAGTAAATATTTGTAAAATTAATGACAATAGTGTATATATATTAAAAATAGGATCATTGAATTTCCGTTAATTATGTTATTGACTATGCAATTTATGTGGGCTATGTAAGATGAATGTGTATCAATTGAAGATGAACTATATGAAGTAGAAAAAAAAAATGACAACCTTAGATTTTAAAAAATTATAACAATTAAAATAAATTAAATAAATATTTAATTTTAATAGTAGTTAATGTTAAAAATTCAAATAAATATATAATTCATCTTTTGAAGAAGAAACCATACTTACTTTTTCCTCTCTGAAAAAGTGGAACCAAATAGAGTAAAATAAAATATTAGAAAACGAAAAAAAAAATTGAAAGTAGTTAACAATTTCTTTAATTTTTTTATGGTGGTTAAAAGGGGGAAAAAGGAGTAATTTTACATACATATATACCTGCAATTTGTAGTTTCTGTAAAGAGAAGAAAAGACTGATCCTTGGATAACTGAACTCCATTAGGAAATGCCAATCCTTCCAAGACAACATGCGTTGTTTTCGTCGAAGGATCGTATCGAAGTAGTCGCCCCGTCGCTTCGCCTTCCAACAGAATGAAAAAATGGTTCCTACATGCAAATTTTATTAAATATTGCCAATTATATATCATCCACTTTATTTTTGCATGAAAAAAATGTAAAAAAAAATGATAATAATAAACTCACACTCGGTTGTATCTTTTGCTAGTGTCGGTGAAGAATATGGATCCGTTTTCATGAATATCAAGATCGTTAGCGAAAAGGATAGGGTCCCCATCGACGTGTGTAGCCAAGGGGGTCGCCACCCCTCCACTGGGTCCCACTACCATAAGGCCGTAGTAAGCATCCGCTATGTATAGATCGCCACTCTTTGTGTCAAACCTTAGGCCGAGAGGTCGTCCACATTCCGACTCCATCTTCCATTGTTTTTTTGTTGTCGAATCCACTCCTTGTGCACATTGCTTCTCGGACCTAGGTAGTCAAAATTGGGATTTTAATTATAATCGAACGTGAGCTGGAATTTACATTTCTTTGTAAATTTATATAGTAGCATTACCATACTTTTATATCTCAACACACATTTAAAGTATGCAAAAACATAAATGAAACATGCAATTTGTTTTGTGGTTGTTAGGTTATTAGATTAATTCTTGGTCATTGTTGTTCATTATTTACGCTAGGGTTCATTCCTCTACAATCCGAACTAGTCACGTTACTTGAATAAATTAAAACGTTCAATGAGGTGTTGAAAAAATCGAGTTTGGTCCGCCCGACAAATTGACTTCTACGTAAAATCTTTAAAACTTGTCGTAAACTCCTAGATTTTATAGATTAATTATAGGATTTTTTTAGTACCGAACTCGAAGGACTTAACGTGGATTCGAATTCTACTACGATTTCATAGATTATAGGCTAGTAAAATCGTAAAATCCAAACATTTTATGATTCTAATAGGGATTTTAGCTACATGCAAAAACCACCTTAATTTTTGTGACCAACATTAATTAGTAAGGAAGGGCAAAATGGACAGAAAACGAAACATAGCAAAAGGCAATACCAATTACGCGAGACGAGAGCAAACGTTTCCCAACCGGATTCTTGACCCATCCACCTCACGACCCGCCCGTCGCCCAGCCCAGCGTAGGGCCCACGGCCCAAAGAATCGAATTCGAGCGATTCGGGCCCGAAAATTTCGTCCTTAAATTCCAAATTACCGAGCCCTAAACGGCTCCGATTATCCCAAGGCCAGCTCTCCATCACACTCTTGTAAGGTGCAATGTCATTCTCCACGGGGCTAAAGTCGAGGCCTCCAACCGGGCTCAACTCGAAAGGGTCCATCACCATGAAACTCAACACCAATACAAACACCAAAATGTATGGATGTTGTAATAAAACACCATCTCTTATTTGCATTATTCTCTTCTCCATGTTTTTTTTTTGGTTTTCTTGTTTTTACTACAAGTTAGACTATGGAGAATGTTGTTGTTATTATAGGATGAGAAACATGCATGTAATAATTGTGATGGAGTTTGTGGTGGAGGGTAGGTTTTTTCTTTATTTTTCTTTATTATTTATTTTTTATATATATATTTCTTGTACTGATATTTGGTGATCATGTATCTATGCTTACTATTATTATGATGGTGACCTACAACTAACTGTATTATTGGAATGCAAAGAGTAGCAAGTAAAACTAACAAAAAGAAAGAAAGAAAATATAATATCTATAAAAATCATCCATGTTCATGCCCTTTTAGCAAATTATATGTAAGGTCTATAATGCCTTGAACATAAATAAAAAGAAAACCAAAGTAAATTGTCAAAAAAAAAACCCTAAGGGAAGATCAAATTACTAAAAAACCCTTACTGTATGCAAGAAAAAACCCCACGTTACGACCCCTTGTATGTTGGGGGGCCGGCGGTCGGTGATGGAGACCGGTAACAATTTTCGGTGAACAATAACATCACATAGTTTCATTCCAGAGATTTCAGTAGTACTTCGGCAACTTCCGGTGATTTGCTTGTGTTATTTGTAGTCAAAAGGGTAAATTACAACCATCCCTGAGGTATGATAAAATTACAAAAATCCCCCTCATGTTTGGCTAATTACAACAACCCTACAACTATAAATTTTTTACACGTCCACCTTTGCAGTTTCAAACTTAATGAAATCTTCTTGATTATATGGAATATTACCAATTTTGAACCCGTTTTATCCCATTCGAGTTCCACATTTTGAAGCATGATGATCATAAGATGTGTTTTTTGACTTGTATATATCAGATTGTGGTGCATCAGAAACTGTATTTTTATACAAAACGAGTACAAACTAGAGCACATTTCATGGAATCTAGATGATTATGTTGAATTTGACACTATAAGAGTAAGATGATTCATAGTTGAAATGGGTAGATGTAATTATCCAAACAAGAGGGATTTTTTCGTAATTTGACAAAACCTCAGGATGGTTGTTAATTTACCCTATATAACATATTAATTAACAAATGAAATTTCTAAATTCTATTGTTTTTAATTCGATTCTATTTGTTTTATTTTTTTATTTTTTTTTGTTTTTTTTATGAACAAAATTTCCATTCCAATTATTTGGAATTTTTTATATCTAGTTAGTTATTCAATTTCTTTTTTATTTATTTTTGTTATTCACTCATAATTTTAATCCACTGGTTTGAGAAAAGCTACTCGGTGAAAAATAGAAAGAAAAGAAAAGAAAATAAAACACTTTACAAATGAGCCCATCAATGGTTAATTATTTATAAAGAAGTCCACATAGTAAACTATTTACAAAAAAGTCCACACATGGTCCAGAGGTTTTGTAAAAGACTAAAATAGTCATTTATACTTTAATATGCTCCAATTTCATGCTTTAATTTAATCTAACCTCAATTTGACCCCAAATTTCATAAATTATTCAATTTTGACCAAAAACACATTTTTATGGACAATTTCGTCCTTCACCGCCGGTCTCCGTTGATTTTTTTTCCTTCCTGATTATTCTGCAGATATCCGGCATTGACTTTTTATTTCGATATTTTTTTTTCTTTTTTTCCTTCCTGATTTTTCCGCTACCGCGTTAACTTTTTTCGTTTTTTTTTCTTTAACATCTTTCTGCCCCCGTTTAAACATCAATATTGTTGTGGTTGACAGTAATAGTAACTATATTACTGTTAAACACAGTAAAATTAATTATACTACAGTTTAACACAAGGTCTATAATGCCTAGAACATAAATAAAAGGGTAAATTATAGCCACACCTGAAGTATGGTTAAATTACGAAAAAAAAAATATTTTATTTGGGTAATTACAACCATCCCCTCAACTGAATCTTTTTACATGTTCACTCTTGTGGTGTCAAATTTAGTGGAATCTTCAAGATTATATGGAATAATACTCTCCAGTTTGTATTCCTTTTAATATATTCGAGCTCCACAGTTTGAAACAAGATAATCATAAGATGTATTTCTTGACTTATAAATATCAGATTGTGGTGCATCAAAACTTGCATTTTTGTACAAAACGAGTACAAACTAGAGAACATTTACGGAACCTAGAAGATTCTGTTGAATATGACACCATAAAGATGAATGAATAAGAAGATTCATAGTTGAGGGGTGGTTGTAATTGCTCAAACAAGCTGGGTTATTTTCGTAATTTAACAATGCCTCAGGGGTAGCCGTAATTTAGCCTAAATAAAAGGAAAAAATTAAATCATCAAAAAACCCCTACGGTAAAGTCAAATTACTAAAAGACCCTTAATGCATGCAAGAAAAAGCACCACGTTACGACCCCTTGTATGTTGGGGGACCGGCGGTCGGTGATGGAGACTGATAAAGTTTTGGTGAACAATGACATCACATAGTTTCGTTCCGGTGATTCTGGTAGTATTTGGGCAATTTTCTGGTGATTTTCTTGTGTTATTTACCGTGGCGGAGCCACCTTTTGGTAATGGTGGGCTCCAGCCCACTGTGAACTCTTATATATGTATACTACACTAAAATTTACTTAATCACACACATAAATTAAAAAAAAAATATCTCTCTACTCATATTCTCTCTAACTTTTCTCTAAGATAATTTTATCCAAGTCAATCAAAATTCATTATTTTTCTACGTGAATAATCATAAAAATGAGTTTGAACATGTGAAGATTTTTGTCAAATTCGATTTATGAAGCCTATTTAATTATTCAAATTCATATCAATTCGATTTTTTTCATCAAATTCCAACTATATTTTAGTTTGAACATGTTAAGATTTTTGTCAAATTCGAACTTGGAATGCTAGGGACGTTTTTAGTGTGTGATTTCGTGAAAACGTTAGGCAAAACGAAGAAGAGTAAGGAAGGAGACGAGAAGATTTTAGAGAGAAAAATATTTTTAGTTATGTGCATGATTTGATAAAATTAGTGCGGAATTAACATTTCAGTTATAGTTATGTGTAATTAGTCCACCCAAATAATTTAATTTAGCCCACTCGAGTTAAACTACCCACCCACTAAAAAAATTGTGTTATTAATTAAATTTTATAAATTTGTAGTTGTTTTGTGGTATTTTAAATGAATGAATCAAAAAAAAAAAAAACAGAATATCACGGGGGCGCTGCCCTCGAACAACGGTAAATATTAAGCCACCCTATCTCCAATTACTGGCTCCCCCACGGATTATTCATACGGTCAAAATTATTATGTATTTTATATTATATGTTAATTAACATGAAATTTTCAAATCATGTTTTCGATCCAATTTTTTTTTAATGAACAAACTTTTCATTCCAATTTTGGATTTTTTTTTTCTAACCAGTTATTCATTCTTGAATTTTATTTATTTATTTTGTTATTCACTCATAATTTTAAGGGTGGATTTGAGTTAGCCCATGGTATGAAGTTTTACTATAGATCAATCCATTCTTTAACTTTCATTTCAAATAAACCCACAAAAAACATGAATTCCCAAACTAGTTTTACATATTTTTATTTGAGATAGGCCCAACTCACCCCATCCCATCCCATCAGCCCACCAGGGTGACCCGGTCCAGTCCGGTTTGACCAGGCCCAAATTCTTATCTTTTTTTTTTTTTTTTTTTTTTTTTTTTTTTTTTTTTTTTTTTTTTTGCGACGGTGGCTTGGGTTGTTGGAGCTCCGATTAGTTGACTTACCATTAGTTAACTTCAACGTTAGTTGACATTTTATATACCATTTTTTTTCTTTGATTTTTTTTTTCCCGGCGATGGGTCGTCGTAGATCCGATTAGCTGACTCAACATTAGTTAACTTTAACATTAGTTGACATCTTTTATTTTCTCTTCTTTTTACGCCGGCGGGTCGTCGAATCTCCGGTTAATTAACTCACTCAATATTAGTTAACTTCAAACTTAGTTGACATTCGACCTTTTTTTTTTCCTCCGATCTGGCAGATTGTTGGAGCTACGATTAGCTGACTTCAACACTAAAAGAGTCGGGTGACAGCTAATGCTTTGTCAGCTAATCAGAGCCCTAAATATCCGCCGTCGAAAAAAAAGAGTTTAAAAAATAAAAACTAAATGGTCTGATTGTTAGCTAATGCGAACTCAACTAATGCAATAGTCAACTAATTAGAGCTCCGACGTCCCGTTGCCGGAAAAAAAAAGATAAAAGATAAAAAGTTGGATGGCAGCTAATGTTGAAGTCAGCTAATGTCGAAGTCAGCTAATGTCGAAGTCAACTAATATGTAATCATCTAATGCAAGTCAACTAATTAAAACTCCGACGACCCTCCGCTGGAAAAAAAAAAACCTAAAAAAAAGAAAGACAAAGGAAAAAAAAAACTATGTAAACTAATGTTGAAGTTAACTAATGCAGAGCGAGCTAGCCGAAGTTCTGACGACCCACCGCCGGCAAAAAAAAATGTCAACCAATGTTGAGTCAGCTAATCGGAGTCGACGATCCACCACGGGAAAAAAACTAAAAGAAAAAAAAAGAATAAAGAAACAAAATGGAATGTCATATGTGAAGTGATGAAATTACCTAATGTTGAGACAATGAACCGTAGCTCCGACGACCCGCCACCAGATAAATTAATTTAAAATAAAATCAAAAAGATAAAAGAAATCAAATTGAAATGTCATATG